TGTGTATGTGTGCAGGTGGCAGGGCACATGATACATTTTCATATTTCCACAGTAGCGAGTCCCGAACAGCACTTTAAATCATCTCCTCAGATAATGTCCTGGATATACTTGTTCCAGGGCTCCTCAAAGTATTGGTTTCTGAAATTGCCTGTGTAAATCACAGAGATTTTTAACTGCTTTATTGTTAGGCAGGAGCAACCCCAGCTTTATGTAACCATTCTCAATTTCAGTGAAATAATTGACAATGGTTAGAAGTTTAGAACATGGTTCTTAGAAGAAACATTACCAAAGAAAACACTGGCTGCAACTAGAAATGACCCATTTTCACCAATAACATTATTGGTGTGTGTGTGGTGGGTGTGTTTGTACCTTTCTTTGACTAAAGGTCAGTCTTTGTGTTAAAAATAGAAAAGCAAAGCGCACAGTTCAGAGTTCCTGTTCACTCAGCAGATGCTTTACAGGGTTGCTGATAGCTTAAATTTAGTAACCTTTTCAATCACTAATTCTTCAGGGTTCCTTTCAAGATGTCTTTCCATGACATCTGAAAACACAATAAATTTTAAAAACATGGTCACCAATTGAATCTGAATACGGAGAAAGCCAAGTGTAGGCTCCAACGCCTCTCAAAGGGATTTTCCAGATGGCAAAATGATAACAGCTTTAGGATTAAAAAAGTAAACCTAAGTGCAGTTTTTCACTGTGTCAGACTCAACAAATACCCTATTAGTGTGCTAACCACACTGAGGAGACATTCAGGCTGGAGATCAATAATGGATGATTTGAGAACACAGATGTTAATGAAAGAGTGGATGGCCAATTTGACTGTAGGTAAATACCTATATCTTAATGGCAACCAGGAGAGATATAACCACACAAAAGCCATTTGACTGCAGTGAGCTATAATGGGTACCACTGCATTCCAGCCTGAGTGACAGAGCCAGACCCTGTCATTTAAAAGAAAAAAATTAAAGTCTTTTGGGAGTAGAGACAGAGGAGAGGATCTAAAAGTAACAGGACATTTACTTACCACACTGCTTTCAAGTACCCACTGTGCTATCCCACCTTACCAATTTCTTCATGTATTCATTGATTCATCACATGTTTATTGCCTGTCTCCAATGGCCTTCTCAAAAGATCTCAGGATCAAAGACAAGCAGAAAAAAAAAATCACAAAACACAGTGTGAGTAGTATATTTAAATTATTTAACTGTTCAGCAAATTTTTCTCGAGCATCTATTATGTGCCAGGCCCTGTGCCACACCCTAGAAATATAATGATGAGTGAAACAAATATGACCAGAGTCCTATAGTCTAATGGTTAAGATTTTCATTAATTAGTTCTGACTGTATGATCATTTAGCTGGGGGATGAAAATAGAAAGAATCACAGACTTCCACAGGGATTTGGGCCAGTGTTACATTTCACTGTGGGTCACACAGTCCTTTTCCCATTTAAAAAGAGAGACAGACAGACTTGGAGCTTCTCCCAGTTGTCACTCTCTTCCTTGGAAGCTGACACCACTTGTGATTTGAGTCCCCTGAGAATCTTATGGCACTCTGGCCCAGAAGGCAGGGACCCTGCTCCCCGTCTAATTATGGCTGGAAGAGGTGACCTCAGTTTCACGACAGGAGAGAAGGAAGAAATCAGACATTCAATAAAACCAACACATTTTGGATAAAAATGAGGCAACACATTTCTAAGCCCGGATGAAAGAAGGAAATTGTGGAGTGGCTTTCTCCTACCGCACCCCACCACTGCTAAACCACATGAGAAATATTTCTAATAGGACGCCAGGAAATCTGCCAAAAAAAACAGTTTCTCAGAGAGGGAGGCTAAGGACCAAGGGTCTTGTCTTATAGATCACTCCAGCTGCCAGCAGAGAATTACCGTAGGATGGAAGGTATTTGTTTACCACACCCCCCCAAGTCCGCCTCCTCTGGGAGAGAAGTGGTACCAGCCCCCTGGTTACTCATGCAACTCTGTGATCATATAAATGTCAATGTTGATTTGTATTAGAAAGGATCCCTTCACCTGAGATAGAGAGTGCAGTTTGTTTGTCTCTAATGCCAGTACCTTTTTAGGTCACCCTTACAGAAACAGTCTTATTTTTGAAACACTTAAGAGAGGCCTTATTTTTGAAAACTGACTTGAAATCTTTCTCTTTTTCTGTTCAAATAATCATTAACAGGATTTTTTTTTTTTTTTTTTATGTTCCTGCTCTTCTCTCTGGCCTGCTTAGTTTTAATTCTGTTTTGTTTAAAACTTATCAAGTGGTGGCTTGCTAGGGTGGAGCCAGATGACAGCTGAGATTAGGAGGCCTTCTGGTCTGGCCTCAAAGTGCATTCTTTCCCACTTTTTATAATTATATTCAAACCGTCTTAGCCCTGAGAATCTTGGTCACAGACTATTTTGCTTTTCTTCTTCTCCAAATAAATACTTCTCTAGGAAATTGTCTTTGTTTGGTTTATGACTTTTTAAAAGAAGAAAGGATTTGAATAGTCAGTGTTTTATTTTTACTTGTTTTCTAGGATCATTGTTTTGCATTTTTTCTTATGTTTTCTTCCCTGACACTTTTCTTACTCAGAAACTGCCAGCCTTACCCTGGAATTCTATTCTACCGAAACACTTTCTCCCGTTATGGGCTCCCTAGCTTGCGGATTTTTAGGTTTCTGTTTAAGACACTTACATCGCTTTGAGAAAAGTTTGAGAAAGGAGAAAAAAGATAAAATACAAAGTGATTAATATTGTGAGTAACATCAAGTCTGAGAAAACTTACCAGTGTTTGTGGGAAACACTGATAGTGCGTAAAAACCTAAAAAAGTACAGGTTGAATATCCCTTATTCAAAAATGCTTATTAGGACCAGAAGCATTTCATATTTTTTTTCTGATTTTGAAATAGTTGCATTATACTTTCCAGTTGAGCATGCCAAATCCAAAAAGCCAAAATGCAAAATGCTCCAGTGAGAATTTTCTTTGCGCACCATGTGGGCATTTAAAAACATTTCAGATGTCGGAGCATTTGAGATTCTTGGACATAGGAAGCTCAACCTGTAATAAATGTCTTTTTCCCTTACTGTCTCCAGCAGACTCTGTTTTCTAACCTGGCAGATTTGGTTGCTTGTTTGTTTCCCAGCCTTGCTTTCTCCAGCTGCCAAGCCTTTTTCCAAGTTGTACTCTCTTCATGAATATACTCCCTTTCACCTTCCATCACCCCAGCTCAAGTCCTATCCCTTACGTTTAACTTTTCCACTCTTCATCCCTTTCTCTGAGTCCTGATTCACATACGTTCTCATACCTCCTTAGTTCCTAGTTGAAATGGTCTCATTCTTTGAATGTATAGTTTGCAAAGTTTCTGGATAACCTGTGAGGACCTATGATCTTTTTCTCGAAGAGAATTGCCATAGCACTGATGATTTTCACCTTTCATTTATTAGGAAACGCTACCAGTTTCTTAGGTCTTAGGCAAGACCCAGTGCGTCAACTAGTCTAAAAATCTCTATGGGTTCCAGTCATGGAGAGTGCAGGTAATTGAAGCAGGAGCAGCCACCCTGCCTCAGTTCCTCCTCTGATCTCAGCCTTTCCAAACACCAAGTCAGTATAGCCAGTGCTCCACTTGGCCATCACTTATCTTGTGGATGCTGTCTTTTTTTTTTTTTCTTAACACCCAGAGAAACACTGGTGATCAACCCTTTTGCAGGATCAGGCCCTTGTACTCCCACAAAGATTAGTTAAAACTGAGATTTGATCTGGGAGGGTTAGACCAGGTGTAAACTCCACCCTCACTCTCTATTGGTGAGTTCTGCTGCAAGCACGCAGCGCCTCAGGATCTGGATATTTTAAAACAGAGTTTTATAAAATGACATCTGTTTCCTCTCCATAAGCTGTGCCTTTGTTTTAGATGGAGAGATGAACTTCCCTACTAGACCAGGCAGATAACCTGTTATACAGGGATTACCAGATAAATAAAACCCAATCTTTACCACCTCTCCACCACCAGCCACCAGCTCCCATGAAATGCCCCCAGGAACAAGAACACATGCAGGAAGGTAATCAGGTGAGAATTCACTGAGGAGCTCGAGGGTACTTCCGTGACTGTTAGAATATTGTTTTCATTTTGGAGGCTTCAGTGCGTCACTTGTTTTTGTGGGCAACAGTCATGGTCAAAACCAAGGATAAACAGAACAGTTGTCTTTAAAATGAACTCCCTGCATGTCTTTGCCAAACCTCCTTAGCATGAGCTCAGGTTCAATGAGAAATGTTTTCTACATATCCTTGTGTTCAGGAGTGATATGCCTCTATCATGGTTTGAAGTATTTTAGTTATCCAGTTTTTAAACATATTTTTAAATATGGGAATATAAGGTGGACGGTTTTTCCCATCTACACAAATTTTCACAGGATTCACAGATTTTCAATCAAAGCAGAAATATTCAGTTGCTTCTCCTTTAAAAGGCAGACCCAATAGAGTTTCAGTTTTACAAGATGAAAAGAGCGACAGATATGGAGGGTGGCAATGGTTGTATGACATTATGAATGTATTTAATATCAATGAACGGCACACTTAAAAGTGGCTAAGATGGTGAAATTTATGTGTACTTAACTGCAATAAAAATAGTAATTAAAAAAAGTAAAATAAGAAAAAGACCAAAAAATGTGAATTCAGAAAGACAATGTTTATTCTTTCTATCATCCTGGGCACTGTTTTACATAGGAGGTATGCAAAAGATTTGTTCCACATAAATAAATAAGTGCCTATAATGATTCCTGTATGCTTATTTTATGACTATAAAAAGATCATTGACTATTTTGAACTGATTAATGAAGAGAAGTTGTGTGAGTTTGCCCTTCTAGCATTCTAGCAGCTTACTAGGTTAAAGAGTAAATACCAGAGCAGCAGGAATATGATAGGATTGTCAGGCAGGTAGAACTGAATATCCATCCTCATCCCAAGCTGTTTGTAAACACCAGCACTCTATGTCTCTCGGTTTCTTTGTTTCTTAGATGCTCAGCCTACAGAAGGAGAGAGAGAAATCTGGAACCAGATCAGCGCTGTCCTTCAGGATTCTGAGAGCATCCTTGCAGACCTGCAGGCTTACAAAGGCGCAGGCCCAGAGATCCGAGATGTATGCCAATCATCACACTGAACTGACAACACCCGAGGAGCAGAGGGAAAACCACACGTGCATGCGCATGCATGCGTGCACATGCACAAACACACACACACACACACACACACACACACACACACACACATGCAGAGCAAGATTAAGTAATAGCCATAGTATTTCCTAGAGTCCCAGGAAGAAGTACAAGGAGGGTAATGTGTCCTTCAAAACAAAAAGCATGGGCCAGATATAGTGGCTCACACCTGTAATCCCAGCACTTTGGGAAGCCGAGGCGAGTGGATCACATGAGGTTGGGAGTTCAAGACTAGCCTGGCCAACATGGTGAAACCCTGTCTCAACTAAAAATAAAAAAATGAAAAATAGTTGGGTGTGGTTGCAGGTGCCTGTAATCCCAGCTACTCTGGGAGGCTGAGGCAGGAGAATCACTTGAATCTGGGAGGCAGAGGTTGCAGTGAGCTGAGTTCGCGCCATTGCACTCCAGCCCAGGCAACAAGAGTGAAACTATGTCTCAAAAAAAAAAAAAAATGCATGAATGGCCCCTTTTATTCTAATGCATTAATATGAGCACACAGTGCTATAGATTATGTAAAACATTAACTATTCTCAAACATACAGGTGATATTGCAGTTCTCACATTTAAACAATAATGTGTCAATATGTTACTTCATTTAAGGGAAACAATGTAAAGTCTGTGAACAACCGTTGAAATATGAATTGTGTAGTCTGGGTGGACATGTACTTTCTGGCGTTTGGTAATTACTCAGGCAGGTTGCACCAGTGTTACACACAACAGCCAAAAAAACCACCTTACTGTCATCTCAAATGTTTTATGAGATTTTGTAAAATTAACAAAAAACAAAACAAAAACAAAAAGAAAATCGCCACTTGGACTTTTACAACTTCACAATGCCTTAAAAGCAAGAAATTTTGCACTCTTTTTATTTTAAAGCATTAGTTTTGTGTAAATATCAACACATACATATATGCATGAAAATACACAGACACACACACACGCACACTACTGCCACTGCCCCCATTCTTCTTAAAAGAACACCACCAGCATCATAATCCTCAAGTTGCTGAAACTCAGACAAGGCAGAGTTTCTAAGAAAGTAACAGTCTACCAAGAGGTGGTTTTTCTACTTATGGGTCACCATTTAATTTAGATAATTTAGATAACATGACAAACTGGCAGGAATGCAGTACCTATTAAAGAGAAAGGAAATGTCTACAGAATTTGCACTTTATAATGAGCACTAATTCCACTTTAGAAGAATCAAACGGTGATGGAGAGGGCTGAGTTTGTTCCAATAGATGTGAATTTTTTGTATTCAAGATAACAGAAACAAGTAAGATGACACAGGATCTAACTGTAGAGCCATTTGCTGTATCTTCAAGTGTTAAAATTTCCATTCAAAATGAGCATCTTGGGGGACAGTCCAATGAACCAATGTTGATGTAAGTATTATACATCAGCAAAGCACAGCAGGGATTGTATTTTTAACTAAAATTTCTCAATCTTAGGGTATTTTGATGTGGAGCTTGCTGCTTCTTTTTAAACAGACAGCTCTACTGTGTTTTTGTAGGCAATTCAAAATCCCAATGACATACAGCTTCAAGAAAAAGCTTGGAATGCAGTGTGTCCTCTCGTTGTAAGACTAAAGAGATTTTACGAGTTTTCCATTAGACTTGGTGAGTATGTGTTTGTACTTTTCATGTCCCACATATGGAGTTCTGTTTTGGTGTTTGAGTAGGTAGTGGGAACAGCTTACCATATTGGAAAGTGTCCCACATTCATCCACTGTGTCAAATGAGAGGCCATAACAGCTCTTGTCATTTTCACTTCTTTCAATCCACCACAAAGTTTCTTCACCTGAAGTTACTGGCACCTTTAGTGTGTTTCTACCAGTGAGTATCTTCTTGATCCTGTTCTCTGCTGTGTCCAACTCTTAATAGTTTTACTGTGAAGTGATCACACTTCTGAGTAACAGAGAAGTTGAAAGATACAGGTTACCTGCTCACCCAACAAAGAACTTGCTTGTCTGGAGTCCAATGATAAATTTAATAGAGTAAAATACAAGAAAAACAAATATAACCTTATTTCCTTAAGCTTTAAACAAATTGTGCAAGTACAGGATGGCTTTGTAGATGTTGAGTAATGACAGATCTGGTTGGTAATACGCTCAATGTGACCAGCAATATGACAGAATCACTCCCCAGGGAGGAGGCTTCGTTGGTTAATATAGTGTATCTTGAATGAGGAAGGCAGGTCTTACTCTACTTTTGCCATAAAATGAGTGCCACGGATTAAGGGGAAAACACAGAACTTGAAATATCTTGGGAAAGTAATGACCATGATGTTGAGAGGACTAGAAGTGAAGACCCAGGGAAGTATTTGAATGAGCCAAACCAATTTTCCAAGAAGAGAGGGTTTCTGAAGACTGTCCGGCAGAATTGAGTAGCAGGGAGCGTAGACTTCTTTTCATGTTTCCTCAAAGGGTAGACCCAGTTAATGGAAATTCTGAGGAGACAACATTTAGCTCAGCAAGAGGGGAAACAATTCCTCATTGATAGCAGGCCAAGGTAGAACTGGCTGCCTTCTCAGAAGAGAGTGTATTCTTATACATGAATATCTCAAAAAGGCCAGAGACATCCTTGTAGAGATGCTATAAAAGTTAGGTAAGAACTGTATAGAGCAGACATGCGCAAACTTTTCTGTAAAGGGTCAAATCATAAATATTTTAGATTTATAGGCCATCCTGTCTTTTTAGCAACTACTCACTTCTGCCTCTCTCATGCAAGGGCAGCCCTAGTTATTACATAACAGAATGAGCATGTCTGTGTTTTAAGAAAACTTGTGTTTATTTACAAAACAAAAGTAGTGGACCAGATTTGGCCGACGGGACATACCTTGCCAATCCCTGCTATAGAGGATTGGTTAAACGATGCTGTGCTATTAGAAATATATTGAAGAACAAGCTATAAGGGAATGTTTAGAATGTTTGTCTGTTTCTAAAGAACAAGAACAATAATGGAGGTAGACAGGGTAATGGGTTCCTAGAAAATTATTCCTGGGATTAGGTTAGAGTGTGGTTGCAGAGAAAAGTCATATAGGTGCAGAGGTCTTTCCCTGCAAAGCCAGTCATCTAACCTATGTGTTTAGGGTACTGTCTCATCTCATCCTGAATTATGAATGGCTGTCTCATGCGCATGACCCAAAAACACATATTTGCAGTATTCTAATAGTCTCAGAAATTGGGATTACTAAATATGTCCAGGTCCATCTGAGCTTAGAGACACATTTACAAAACACTCTGGTCATGGGGGTTTTCTGCAGGGGTGGCAGCCTGCCCAGCCATGTGGGATTTCTTCTCTTTCTGGTCCACACGCAGCACACCTCACGTAGTTATTGAGAAAGACTCAAGCAGGTGTTGTCTGAGATTGTCAGCTGAGGCTGGGAATTGTGTTCTTTGAAGGATCTCTGTGGGCCGCCTCCAATATATTTATCCCTTTGATTTTCAGAAAAAGCTCTTCAGAGTTTACTGGAATCTCTAACTTGTCCACCCTATACACCAACCCAACACCTGGAAAGGGAGCAGGCCCTGGCAAAGGAGTTTGCCGAAATTTTACATTTTACCCTTCGATTCGATGAGCTGAAGGTTAGGCCAAATGTGCTGTGAAAATTTAATGAGCTTGTATTGAGTACCTACTGTTTACAGCTGCTCTGTTAGTGTTGTGGGGTGGGTGGGTGGATAAATGAGTAGGATGTAACTTCTACCCTAGAGAGACAAATAATGTGGTGAGAATTTGCATTCCATGTGGCAAAAGTAATTTAAGATAATGATTTGTATATGGAAATTTTAAATCTGCCAAATGAAATCAGAGAAAACCTTTTCAAGTATCTGTTCCGCATTGAGACCAAATATACTTTCCCTGAAATCTAGCCCACAGGGCATATTTTGAAATAATGATGCTGTGGGTCCTTATTTTTAACCAGAGGTTGCTTTGACTCTTATGTAACATAGAGAAGCCCTGGAATATTTATAAAACCTAGTGTCTGAGCTCCTACTGCACATCCCCCATCTGATACTGAGAGATGACCTTCGCTCCTCTCTTTTGAATTTCAGATGAGGAACCCAGCTATTCAGAATGACTTCAGCTACTACAGGAGAACAATCAGTCGCAACCGCATCAACAACATGCATGTGAGTCCCTGGGTCGCCTTGACCTTTGCACCCTTCTCCATGGCTCTTTTGATTTCTGCATCAGGCAGAACCCAGAGAGAAGACAATGTCCTTGTCTGTAATGCAGTTCCAGAGGAGAGTATTTGGAGACTTTGAGTTTCTCTTTATAAATGCATCTTCTCTTCTTGTTTTCATTAGCTAGACATTGAGAATGAAGTCAATAACGAGATGGCCAATCGAATGTCCCTCTTCTATGCAGAAGCCACACCAATGCTGAAAACCCTTAGCAACGCCACAATGCACTTTGTCTCAGAAGTAAGTGAAGCTGAGAAATGAGGTGCTTTTTTTCTTAACTGCACAGAAGAGCTGTAAGCAGCGCTAATGCACATTTGTGTCTCCCATTTAGAACAAAACCCTGCCAATAGAGAACACCACAGACTGCCTCAGCACCATGACAAGTGTCTGTAAAGTCATGCTGGAAACTCCGTAAGTTAAATCAGAGGTGTATTCTTGGTTGAGACTTCACCCAGCCAATGTCTGTTACGATGAAGATGTTAATGGCATGTACCATTTGGTTCAACACTCTAAAGTTTTCATGTGTATCATCTGCTTTAATTTCATTAAGAACTCTGGGTAGCTGGTGTCACTATCCCTATTTCATAGCCGGAAAAACTGAGACCCAAACAGGTTGATGGACTTCCCAAAGACTGCATAGCTTGTTAGGTAGCGGAACCAAGACTCAGATCAAAGATGCTGTAGAAGATGTGTAAGAACCAAATGGATGATAAATACATTGTAGAGAAGACGTAAAACCAAGAGTTTAGATGATGAGACTGTTTCAAGACTGAGAAAGGAGGTCTCTCTCTCTCTCTCTCTGCAGTTCTTTTTGTACCTTAACTAGTTACTACTTGTTAGATTTAAAAATGATTGAGAATGTTGGGGATGAAGCAGCATGGTAATCTGTCCTCAAAATTCTGAGCTCCACTTATGTCTGCAGCCCCTGCTGTGCCTGTAAATTACTGGCCTGACTTCCTGAGCCTCGGTTTCCTCATCGAATGAAGTTCTCTTAAGGCCATCTACTTTGCAGTCTTTAGGAAGACCAAAGGCCTCAAGAGTGCCTTATAAAATCTGATAGCTTGTTCAAATGTAAGATGGCATTAATTTCAAATATTTCACTTGTACCAAAGTTAAGATTTATTCCAAGGCAGAAATAGTAATCATTTTCATTGCGGAGCCAATTCATAATGAAATAGATGCTAAGAAAGCCTCTAGAATTAGCCTGAATTATCTGAATCATCAGGGACCCTGTCAAGGTAAGTGGACAAAATTCAAACTCTACAAATACTCTTAGTATCAATGAATGATATATATCTATGAATGATACATATTTTGTTTAGGTATTTTTGCCAATCCAATGTATCTGCAGCCTGTTTCTTAACAAAGGAAGTTACTCTGACTGGAGACACGATAGCTGCTCTGTAGAAATGAACCTGATTCTTTTTCTCTGTGATGATGTTATTACTCTCTATAATCTTGGACAGCCAGAAGGACCTGCTATAAAATATCCAAGATTGATGGGTGGGAGAGTGAGGTACATGATGAGCTAGTCTGCTGAAGGGCAAATGAGAAGGGAATTTACTGCCCTTTATTTTACCTTATTTTCACACTGAATTGCTGGTTGAATAGATTCAAGGAGAATTATCATCATGGAATTCCTCAGAAGCATATTAACTGGTTGTTGCAGGTCTGGGATTGTTCTCAAGAGAGGATTGGAGGCATCTAAAGTAGCCAGTTTTGGGACCAGAGAAATCACATGCTCTGACAAGGAAGTGACGCTGCTGCTGTTTCTTCTCTTGCAGGGAGTACAAAAGCAGGTTTACTAGTGAAGAGACCCTGATGTTCTGCATGAGGGTGATGGTGGGAGTCATCATCCTCTATGATCATGTCCATCCTGTGGGAGCTTTCTGCAAGACATCCAAGATCGATGTAAGAATGGCTGTGAAATGTGCTTTCCAAATAAGGCCCATGAAGATTGCCAAACAGACTTTCCTTCTCTTCCTCAGGCTCCTCAAGACCACTCCACGGAGAGTGATCTTTCTAAGATGCACAGCCCATCCTGGCAGCTGTCCTCACAGCGAGATGTCCAGGCTTTTTTATGTGCTTAGGACAAAACACGCAACCTTAAAAGCATAGCATCAATGCTGCGATGTTGATCCCCTCAGCCTCTATTGGAGCTGAGCAGATGGACAATCACTTAGCTACATGCTGTCCCTTCATTTAACCAATGTGCCATACAAATAGATGGTTTCTATTCTATACATGTCCTGTTTTGAAGAGTTGGGACATACTGCCTTATAAGACACCATGGTCAAATCCCAAATGACCCTTTCACTTCCTCTCCCACCACTCCCTACCCGTTGCTCCACTCAAGCCCCATGCCATTCCTCATCATTTGGATATGTGTGATACGTGTGAGTACTTTCTCCTGCCCAGAGAGCCTTCCTCTTCCTCTCTGTTGGGTGTATTTCTTTCAGACATGCTTCAAACGTCACTTCATCTAAGAACACATTTTCTGCATGGGATGAGCCCTCCTGCTCCTCTGGTCCCCAGAGCACTCGCCATTTTGTATTTTCTGACTCCTGCACAGTTTCTCGACAAGGACAGAGACCATAATCTCTATGCCTAATGTCTGCTCTACTGCCTTGCACAGGACCTGGCACATAGTGGGTGGCACTCAACAGATGCCCTGTAGGAGTTTTGATGGATGGATGGATGAATGAGTGAGTGAATGAATGAATGAATGAATGAATAATGAAAATAATTGAAAACACATAATTTCAGTGCGCTGGTGCGTTTCCTGTTTATTGTGGGATAAAGCACATCTCTTCTTCATCCAGCACTTGCCTGCAGCACCAACTCAATAGTGTATCCCATGTATTTGTTTAAAGCCTTTAATGTTCAGAATAGAACCTCTTGGTAGTAACTTACTCCAGTGTAGCTGAGTCTGAGTGGCACACTGTGTTCACTCATCTGCAGAGAACAGTATCCTGACGCTTTGGCCTTATGCAAGAGGAAGTCTACATATGCAGGATGGCCATAAGTCTGAAGAATACAAGATATTCTTGTATTCTTGTATTCTTGTATCAATAAAAAATGTAACTTGGATTACTCATTATGAGGTTCTGGGTTCGTAGCATAGTTAGGTATGTTTCTTCCTAGAATCTTTACTACTTTTAATGTGATTATTTCTGTTTACCAAGAAAATAAATATTTATGTTAAAAACTTTTTGGTCAGGCACAGTGACTCATGCCTGTAATCCCAACACTTTGGGAAGCCAAGGCGGGCAGATCATGAGGTTAGGAGTTCAAGACCAGCCTGGCCAACATGGTGAAACCCATCTCTACTAAAAATACAAAAATTAGCCAGTTGTGGTGGCGGGCACCTCTAGTCCCAGCTACTTGAGAGGCTGAGGCAGGAGAATCGCTTGAAACTGGGAGGCAGAGGTTACAGTGAGCTGAGACCAGGCCATTGCACTCCAGCCTGGGTGACAGAGTGAGACTCCATCTCAAAAGAAATTTCTTTTGACGTGTAGGAAATGAAGATATAGAAAATTAAATGTATCTGTAATAACCTCACTATAGGCAGAGGACCACCATTCATACGGCGGCATATGTGTGTTACCTTCTTTTTGTGTAGATCCTTGTGTGGACATGTGTGTGGATGTCCTTAACAAATTAGGAGCCTGCTTTACGTGCTTTTTGAAACATATTTCTTTTACATAAAAGTATATTATGGACATTTTTTATACCAATAAATATTTTTACTGTATCCTTTTTGAGGCTTTAACATTTTCATACTATAGATTGAGTACAAATAACTCTATAAATATTATTTGACTATGGCTTGAGTTCATTACCCAGAACTCATGAGACATTCTCATTACCATAGCCATTCTCATTACCATACCATGTCAACTTGTCACAAAGTCAACAATTAAAAATACACTGGGTAAAAGTATGCCTCGTAGCCCTAATGTTTAAAAAGCTTGGCTTTAAATGTTATTTAGTGAGTCTTTTGGTCGAGGCTGTAATCAGTATATCATGTTAAGTCTTCACACATAGCCTTGATGTTTTCTTTTGTCCATGGAGGTCTCACTACATAAGGCTTCTTCATATGGATGTTTGCATGTGCCTCTAAGAAAGTGAAATATGGCCAGCCCCAAACCAAAGGTTCCCCTCTCCCCACAAACCTGTTCCTTCTCCTGGGTTCCTGTCTTAGGCATTTTATCGTCCTCCAACCAGTCCCTAAGGCAGAGCCTAGAATTGTCTCTGAGAACAAGGAATGACTTCTTCACCCCATGTTTTGTCAGTCACCACATCCTATAGAGTTGACCTCAGATTAGTCCCCAACTCTCCCTGCTCCTCCATGCCCACTGCTGCTCCCACACTTCACACCCGCAGAGGCTCTCACTGGTCCTTCTCTCTCTGTTCTTGCTTCTTTCTGGTCCCCTTCTATATCAACCGCATTGCTAGATTATTTGGCACCTGTCAAATATGGTTTCCACAGTTAAAGGCCCCCAACTCCTGAGCATGCTGTTAAATTCACATTGCATCTGGCCCTAGCTGCATCCTGGGCAGCGTCTTGTTATTCACACCTACAGCGTTAATCGCCCTAAGTGGAACTCAAAATTCCCAAACAGCATTCCCTGCTCTTCCACCCCTTTCCACATCTGCATTCTCACTGCTTCTTAGGCCTGGTTCACAAGAACACTTCCACACTAGGATAATAAACTATGGGAGAGAGACAGAATCTCTGCATCCCTGGGCCTGATGCCATCCTAGGCCTGGGGCGGCACATACCTGGCATGCTTGTAGCTTCTCCCAATCCAGCACGCATGACAGACTTCTCTAATTGGCCATGACATTCTTTCTTGATGCGCTTATAGGATCCCCACACTCTGGTGGCCTCCATCAGTCTATCAGGGTCTATCAGTCCTGTAAGATAAAACTTTTGACATACAAGAAGCACAATGACAGAAAATGTTTCTAAGGGCCGTTATAAAAGGGGCCCTTCATATAACTAAATCCAATATATAACAGTGTGTGAATAGCTGGGTTTAAAACGAGTGATTATGTTATTTGCAGAAAGATTCTTCGTTTGCCAAAAAACACTCCAAGATATGCATACTGTAATGTGAGGAATATAAATTCAGTTTCCATGCACTTCCCATCTTATGGGTCAACTGTATTATATGGACACTAAAAGCTAAGACACTTACCTAGGTTTGTGAAGACACTAAACAAACAAGCATGAAGGGAACTCAGACAGTTAGCCTCCGTGAAGTTCACATTCTGAACGGTGGCCCTTCATCAGTCCTCTCAAAGGTGATTGAGACATAGACCTGCTCCTCGAGGAGCTCCTGGTCTAGTGAAGGAAAGAAGTTAATATGGGCACCAAACTCCCCAAGTGTCTCTACTAAATGGTAGAGTAGTCCTGGGAGCACAGAAAGGTGTTGGTTACTTCTATCTAATGAAGGTAGAGAGGTCAGAATAGGATTCCAGGAGGTGCTGATCTTCAGCTGGGTCTAAAATAATTGTTAAGGGTTTGCCAGTCAAATAGCTCAAGAACAGAAAACATGCAGGGCAGAAGAATGGCATAAAATTATTCAGTAAATCTCAGCGCTGAGTAGACAGAAGGCCGTGCATTTGGCTCCATAGTACAAGGCAAGAGGAACAAAGTTTCAAGTCTTTGTCCTTAAAGCCAGGAAAGTGAAATGTACAATTGCAATATGGTATGAAAACTGATAATGATTGCAACCATACAGAATCCTCTAGAAGCCCAGAGGAACAACTTACCAGCCTGAGGGGGTGGGAAAGCTTGTTGGTCATTTCTGTGTTGGAGTTCTCTGGGAAGAAAAAATCTGACATTATGGATAAGTGTTATTATGGGTAGATATTAGCATAGACAGTATTGCTAAGATATTAACAAACATTGTGCTTTCTCCCCCTAGATGAAAGGCTGCATAAAGGTGTTGAAGGAGCAGGCCCCAGACAGCGTGGAGGGGCTGCTGAATGCCCTCAGGTGAGCTTCAGCTCTTCGTTAGGCTTGCAGGGAACAGCCAACCCTTCAGGGCTATTGAAAATGTAAATACTGTTGTGGATAGCACCAAACTCAACCCTTGCATATTTTCAGACATTGAAATATTCCTAAAAATCTTTTGAGGTCAGCACCATTTTTATCAGCCCTTTTTAAAGATGGAAAAAATTGAGATTCAGGGAAATCAAATAACTTGCCAAAAGTCACACAGTAAATGGACAAGCTAGGACCTGCACCCAAGTGTGGGTGAACCCATGGGTCATGGACCTAATTCTCAGCCACACTACTTTGGGGCTTATAGGAACTCCTCAGAACAAGAGGCTTCCAGGCTCTCACTTTCCCCTTTGCCAGTGGTTCCCAAACCTGGCCTCCCTTGAGGATTGTGTGGGTACCTTTTGAAAACACCGCATGTGACTCAGACCAAATGAATTGGAATCTCTGGGCTAGGGGCTCAGGTATCCATTTTGTTTCTTTGTCTGTTCTAAAGCTCCCCAGGTGGTTCACATGTGCAGCCACCAGAACTGAGAACCCACTGTCTAGATGCCTAAATATTTGGCCAGCTGTGGCATGTTTCAGCTCCTCACTGCTAACAAGTGATGCCTAGGCAGCCACTTTCTTCCCAGGGATGCATGTGCTTAGTCCATTTCAGAGAGGGGATTCTTTTTTAGCTCTGACACATCTGTAAGAATTGGTTGAATCACACTGCTGTATAAATCATTCTCATACTAGATTGCAATCTAGAAGGTTTATGGTCCCTGTTGTCTTACTCATCTTTGATTCTCCTGAGTTCTACTCAGTGTTGTGCATGAAGTAAGTGTTCAATAAGTCTAAGCAGGATGGATCAATAATGCTCTATCTATTTACAACACTCAAGTTTTATACTCCACTTCTAATCACATTGTCTCATTTAATCATCACAAGTCAGAGAGGCAAGGCTGATCTGTTATCCCCACTTAAAAAATGAAGAAATTGAGACACACACAAAATGAACCAAATAGACCCGAGGTTGATGCTGTTTTGCTGAGTTGCTAAGTCATCATCCTTCAGAAGAGATTTACTATTAATATAAGAGACTTTCAGAGTCCATGGGAAACCCAAGCGTTTCTCCTGGTGTCCATTTCACCCCACGATGACTCTATACACAGGAAGAAGGCTTTAACTTCTGAATGTTTTGAGCTTTCCAGCTTCATTCAATGAAGCAAAACGCTGTGCTAGGCCATGAGTCCCATCTGATTTGTTAGAACTTGTGCCTCTTGGAGGCAATGTAATGACCTGAAAGGAGCACAGCCTTTCCAGATAGCAAAATATAGGTTTGAATCAGAAATCACAAATCTCAAATCAGTAACCCTGTGATCTGAAATAGGTCATTTAACCTCTCTGAACCTCAGTTTTCTTATCTATAAAATGAAGGTAATAACCTCACCTTTACAGGATTATTGTAACATGAAACTTAACATGGAGCATCCAGGACCTGGCCAAAGTTTTATTACATGTTAATTCTCTTTTTCTTCTTTAGCATAAATGATTCTACTCCCGGTTATTGGGAGGCTGCAGATTGTACCACTTTTATGGGTTTGCTTACCTGCGTTTGTGCCCCCTTGTGGTGGCAATGAGGTTAATTAAGCATTGCAGGAAAATGGAGAACCATAAACATTCAAGTTCTGGGCAATGCAGCTTTGCAAATCCCTATTCTGAAATTTGTGAGTCAGCCGGGGTAGGCTCAGTCAGGATTCTGCACTCAATCCTGCGAAGTCCGCCTCCCTGGAAACAGACCGCTCATATCTCCTCTGTGTAATTATTTGATTATGTAAAAATATCCACTTCGTTTAATAACCATAATACAAAATTCCTTTGGAAGGAAGAATCAAATATTAAATCCGTCTGAGAAGACTGTGAGCATTGAAGTGTGATTCTTTGTTTAAAGAAATAAGCTCAAATATCAATTGTGTTTCCCAAGGTAAAGATGGACTGAAGCTTACACAGAGCACTGTTTGCCGCTAACCTCTACCATTCTCCATCCAGGTTCACTACGAAGCACTTGAATGATGAATCAACTTCCAAACAGATTCGAGCAATGCTTCAGTAGAGCTCTGCTCAGAGAAGAGGATCTATGTGCTGACCTCAGAAGATGTATATGTTTACATAATTTAATACAGATTGATGTTAATACTTGTGTATTTACATAACCGTTTCCTTCTTGTCACTGAAATATATGGACCTTAATTTGTATCCTGACTGACTCAACCCAGCAGAGCATAAATTGACTTGAGAGCCTTACCTTTGATGTCTGAAATGAAACCCCCTTCTCCAAAGGCAAATTTTGGAGACTTTGATCTTTGCTACTGGAGTCCTTTAACAACACCTGTAACAATCAAAAATTTCTAATTGTTTGTGGTAGTATTTTAATTCTAGATGTGTTATCTCTCTGGGAAGTATAGTTTATAGAAACACAAAATATTTGATTTCCTGTGTCGGCTCAGCTACAAGAAACACAACTGTTATCTTGACAGAGGAAGAAGGGAATCCAAGAAAAATGCATGTGGAGAATTAAACCCAAGTGTTTTGAATTCAACACACCCCCTCTTTGTCCTCAGACTGCAATCCGCACGTGCAACTTTTCTATTTGCACGTGTTTTATTAATCAGCATATTCCCTTTCTGTTTGGATTTATATCCCTCTAATGTTCTCTTTTAATTTCACAAGAAAATACAAATGCCTATATTTTGATCAGTTAGTGGGAGAGCAACAGAAATAGCTGTGCTCTTGCCACTGGACTGATGAAGGAGGTTGTCTGAGAAGTGGGAGACAGGTCCGCAGAGGTGCACTCAGGCAACAGGACAGCAATCTCTCTGCCTCAACCCTCTGCCTGCAGTGATTATGGAAATGGAGCTTTGGCTTTGAAGTTATCTGTAAATTTACTAACCTTCCAGTTATCTGCAGAGTGCTGGGAGCACAGCCCCTCCTCATAGGAGCCCTGTTCTCTGAAGATGATTCATATGACAACAGAGGTCTAAGGTACTGCATTAGTTACCAGAAAACTAGGAGAATTTAGAGGGGAAATATCCATGTTTTCTGTTTCTCTGGGTTTTAAAAAATGGCTTTTCCCCAACCCTGTTTCTAGTTTGTTGCAATGTAAAAGCCCTGGTGCGAGCACCTGAATTGAGTCCTGGCCTTACTAAGGAGTCATAGTGTGATCTTGGGAAACGTGTTTAAGCTCTCAGAGTGTTAACTTCCTTTTCTCTAAAATGGTCAATTAAAACAATCTTCAAGAGCCCTGTAAGGTTAAAGCCAATAAAATGACTGACTCTGCCCTTCTTCCTTAGTAAGTGATATCCAGTAATCATCGCCCCACCTTGTCTTGTTGATGAACAATATTATGAAGCCTGCAGTAATTCTCTCTGTAGATCAGAGCTTAGTCAGAATGGAATCATGAAAATCTTTGATTCTGACCTCCCAAGGAAAAATGAAACCCAGAGGATGTGGTTATACAGGATGGCTCCCATGTGGGCCTAGAACCCAGGAAGCTTCACTCTTAACTCCATGCTCTTTCTTTTATGCCATGTGGCTGTGAATACATACTATGGGATGGGATTCAACCCTTCTAAGTAAATCCTCAGTATGGTCTATATTATTATTTGCCTGTTTCCACTAGAAGGAGTCACCCAGATGTTTAGTAATTGATAATCCGAGAAGTGGAGTCTGAGTACATCAGAGTTTGGCATTATTTGCAACATCCCGGGAAAGAGCTGTAAGATACCATTGCTTTCCGGACTTTGGTGGTCAGCTGATCTTTCTTTGGATCCTCCAAGAAAAGGGAAAAAATACTTGTCTTGTTTTGTTTTTAGCAAGGGAGCTCAGTCAAGTGGAAGGAAAGATTCCCTGGTCTGTATCTAAAATCAGTCAACAGAGAAGGAAAAGGTTCTTTTCCTTGGAGATTTTCAAGTTGAACAAGTACAGCTGCTTGGAGGAAGGTTCTCTCATCAGAATACAAATATGCTAGATGGCCTTCAAGACTTTTTTGAACCTAAGGATTCTAAAACCCTAGAGGAAGCTGGAAGATATGATTATACCAGGTGAGGAAATTTAGGAGGTATTCATCTTAAGAGATAGTCCATTTGGTGTCACATGTTACACTTGAGCAACGATTTTCTAGAATATAAATATAGAACCACATAATGTTTATCATCATCAGGTCAATTTCTTCCCCTCTATCAGGTGAGGATATTAAAGCTTAAGGAAGGGAAAAGACTTGACAACTACCACAGGGCTCACGAGGGGCTTGAACCCATGTCGTGTGTCTCCACAACAGCTGCCTCTCAGCTGGCTAAAGGAGAAAATGTTAAGGATGATCTGTCAAATTAGATTGATCTCAGAGTAAACAGATGAGCACATTTATAACTTTAAGTTAGACCTTCTATCAAATGGGACCAAACGTGAGGAAGGGGCTGCTGGCCTGCCCCAATTTAGCCAGGCCACCTTGTTTTAAAGCCAAGATTCAGCAGTACATGGATTCCGAGAAGTCCAGGGTCTGAATTGTTGCCTCTGATTACTGGAAGGACAGGTTAACTGAATGTCTGTGATCACTAACAGGTGATGGGCGTTCTGCTCACTCCAGAGATACTGTGGGAGACAAATTCTTTTAACAGGCTGTCCACCCAGCATCAGAAGTCATTGAACAATCATGGATTGTTGCGTTTGGTTTTTTGTTTCTGTTTTGTTTTTGCTTTCTGTGCTGCATGCACATGCGTCCAAGACTTACGGGTGGTTTAGGGGAAAGTGATAGCAACAATGTCAATGTCATTGTTAACTATATTTCATATTTGAGGTCTCATTGTTTTCAAATAAACAGTGTTTTCCATGACTGAGATATTTATTTTGGGGAAAGCAACAAGGTAAAAATTATGTTTCTCAAATGCACTGCCACTTTGGCGTTATGACTCTGTTCTCAGAAACTCTTTGTGCGCCACTAGGAATTAGTAGTAAAAAAGAAGAAACAACTGGAAATGGATGTCTTCAAATGTGCTGGCCTTTGGGGTAGAATATTAACAACCAGAAAGAAAGGTTTGGATATTATCTTTCAACTATTAGTTAATATCATTCTTCATCAACATTTGTTCCTAGTTATCACCATTAAATTATGACATTAATGGTAAGCAGGTTACTGATGCATCATCACAGTTAAGTAAAAATGATTTTATATTTTCCCCAAAGAAAAATTAAGCCTCCCAATCTTGGCATCCAATTGTGCAGTAGAATTCAGAGACTTCTCATTCAATCTTGTATCCTATACAGCTACAAATATTTTTAAATGTTAGTAATAAACATTGGAATTTTGTCTTAAAGGGTCCAAAACTTTGGAACCCAGTTTTCTCACTACATCTATAAAGGCCATTACAGACCCAAAGGTGTTTTGAAGTTTTCGTATGTTGTTTTCTGAAGTCATTGTAATTTTTTTTTTGCCTGTTTTGCCGTTTTTTGTACAGGAGTTTTGAGTGTGAAATGAAAATTAAAGTTTGGTACATATATTTACAAATTCACCTCTATTTTATATGATGCTCAGGGTTGAGTGGGTAATAAGCACATGATGATTAGTCTACATAGATGTTTGCCAGACACTTACTCTGAGAAAATCACACTAGCATCCCTTTACATCTCTATACCTGAATTTCTAAAAAGAAAAAAAAAAGTAATACCCAAAGTGTGCTACTCTTGATACCAGCTGTCTTTTGTTCATTTCAGCAAGAGAAACCTGAATAACGGCCAATGGCAGAAAATGGCAAAAGGGCAGAAAATGAACAGAGACATAATTGATATCTAGAGATGCATGAGCCCTACTTGCCCAGAGATGCTAAGAAACACTAATAAGTGGTCTTTTCTTTTTTCTTTTGAGTGCAGGAGTACTTTATGGGTTTGGCAAGATCAGCAAATAACATATTTTACGTTAACTACATTTTTCAGGCAATGTAAGCCCTGAAATAATTCTTTTAACTATTCAACTTTGAGGGTTTCCTAGAACACTACTTTTAATCCCTGCACTTCTGAAGCTGATCACCTGAGACCTGATTGTGTGTACTCTCCATGGCTCAGAATTCCCAAGAGAGACCTTCCATGATACTCTATGCCAAAAAAAAAAAAAAAGGCACAACTGTTAGGACTATTCGTGGCACAATGGGAAATAAATGGAAATGGGAATTTTTCTGTAAATGAACAAGTGGACAAACTTAAGGAGACAAAAGCTAGAAGGAGAGAGAAGCAAAAGGGGCCCTGAAGAGTGGGTATGTGTGTACCTAATTAAATTATTGTTGAGCATCAAAGTTATGAAAAAATAAGGAAGAGAGAATACGTGTAACTGTCAAGACGAATACAGATAGTGAAGAACTGAGGGATGTACAATTCAGAATAATCTTCCTACCAGCCAGAAAGTTGGCTGTTATTCAGGATTCTGTTGAAAGGATGGGGATGAGGAGCTCAGCCGGCCACATTCATGAAACCTGACGAATATTTGCAGTCTGTATTCACACCTGATTTCACCTTTTGGCTTATCCATGTGTAGATAGAATGTCCAGGTGTTTGCTCTTTGAAAGGTCTATATTGTATTTGGCCATCACAACTTAAGTGACTGATTAAATAATACTGAATTGTATTGATAATTTAAGCTATTTCATATTCATTAAATACATTAATCCATCTAATACCTAAATCCTGGTGCAGACTGGCCTAATACCATGCTGACTTCACCTTTATGGTACCTTTTACATCATAAATAAAGTTCTTGGTCATTCTGTCTGCTTCTGCTCAGAAGTCAAACTCTAAAGAAGGGAAGTTTTCTGTGCTGGTCTCGTCAGGTTCCTGAGGCTGTGTCTGTGATGCTTTAGTTCTTTCCTTGCCTACTGCTCTTACACAAAAGTCTGAAAATTCTAGAACTTTTGGAAATGGATGTTTTGAAAGTATGTTCTGCAAAATGCTTCCATCAGATTGCCGTTTGAAATTGTGCTATGTAGGATTTTAGGTAAATCTCTGAATTTAATTTTAAAAGAGTGTCTTTGGAGACAGTTTTTGAAAACCAATTTAAGAACGTCTTTTCTTGGCAGGATGTGGTGACTCATTCCTGTAATCCCAGCACTTTGGGAGGCTGAGGTGGGTGGATCACCTGAGGTCAGGTGTTCAAGACCAGTATGGCAAACATGGTAAAACCCCATCTCCACTAAAAATACAAAAATTAGCTGGGCATGGTGGTGCACACCTGTAATTCCAGATACTCCGGAGGCTGGGGCAGGAGAATCTCTCGAACCCAGGAGGCGGAGATTGCAGTGAGCTGAGATTGTGCCATTGCACTCCAGCTTGGGCGACAAGAGTGAGACTGTTTCAGAAAAAAAAAAAAAAAAAAAAGGAATGTTTTTCTATGAAATCTTCCAGTCTCCCCCCTCAAACCTCACAGTTCCAGATTCTTTTCTCTGTCTGCATTTTGTGTGTATTTTTAAATGTTCTTTGTTTGCACTATAACATGCTTTGTTTCAAGATGGGGGGCTATATTTTATTCACTCTTCTTAAGCCAACCAAGAGGTGAAGTTGTTTGTGCTGTGATTTGAGGAACAGCAGTTTTAAGAGGCTCCCTACACCTTGAAGAACAGGTCTCTAGAAAACATCAAATGCACTGGGTGAAGCCATCAAATTGGTTTCTTCCAAATGTCAATATATTTGAAAATATATTTATTTATTTTATATGAGACAAATAACAAAATCACTATGGGGAAAGGTACAGAAGCAGTGGGGTTTTATGTGAATGTGAGCGGGGAGGATATGCTAGACCATACATAGAAATGATAGGGAGCTCTGGGCTAAACCAGGTGAGTATTTATCTCTCAGACGTGTCATGGGCATTTCACCACTATGGTGCTGTCATTAATGCATGCCTTCTTTATTTAGGACTATCTGAAGTCTATTTGTGTACATCAAGGCCCAGGTCATTCTCCACCTCCTTTGTGAAGCTTTCCCTGACTATCCCAGCCCATGCTAACCCTTCCGTTTCTGAGTCCCTAATGCATTTAATTTATTTGATACTAAATACAGGCCACTTTATAGCACTTGAAATAAGTGTTTGTTTTTTCCACTAGATTTTGAGTTCCTCGGGGAACAGAGTGTGTCGCTTAGAAGACTGAGTTCAATATAGGCCAGTGGCCGAAAGGCTGCCTGCCGAGGGGAAACTTCAGGGTCCTGAGACCTGATATTCAAAAATCAAACCTTGAGAATTAATTTCTACAGCTCACCAACCATTCACAATAACAAAGTATCTGCTTCCTTGGCTGGTCAATTTTCTTTCAAGAGGAAATATTTACCTACCTGTCAGGATGTTTTTAACCTCTGTGGACACAGCCTGCAGCTTGTGGCTACTCTGCCAGGAGTCCAGATGAGAAATCAAGCTGTTGTCTTGATCAAAAGTCAGTCAGCTAGTCCTGGCAAGGGCAGGAAGCCAACATGCTAGTTAAAGTATGTCTTGCAATATCAGTCTGGGTCAAGGTTGCTACCCTATAAAGCAGCTGAGTTTGACACACTCAGGGGCAGAAAGACACCAGAAGCAGAGAAGTTCACATAACCAAATTGATTCAGCACCTTGGAGAGCAACCTAGGTGTGGCACCTTAACAGCACATTATTTATCCTGGATGCTACAAGCCCTATTAGTTGGTTCAACTTTGTCTCTAGAACTCTGGTTATCAAAGATAATATGCTTCTTCTAAAAATAAAGTTACTAGGTAGATGGAAACCCACTTCTTCTTTATGGAACTTCTGAATATCATTCAAGACAGGCAGAAAGAAGTTTTTGAAATGCCCAGGAATCACCTTGAGTGTTCATTTGCGTGGTGTTTTCAGATTTAAGCCAAACTTATAGTCATGACTCTTCCTTCTTCTTTAGTCTCACGCCTCTAGTCATACATTTTTTTTTCAAAAGTGCTCTCAAAATACAGCAACTTCTCCCTAGTTTGTTTTGCTTTATTTTCTCAAACCATCATCATCTCTTCACTAGATCACCTTTTCTGTTGCTGCTCCAATTTTTTCTCATCACAACCAACACTCACCTTTTTCTGACCCGTATTTAATCCTATTGATGCCTTTAGAAAGTTTTCTGAAATATGTTCTGAAATATTGATTTTCAATGTGTGAGGTGAGAGGAAGATATCAGTTTTCAAGTATTTGTGAGACAAGATTAAAGACATTATTTTATTATTGTTTTTACTACCAGACATTTTTGTATATTGCAAATCTCTATAGAAGTGTATACCATGTGATTATATCAATTCTCAAGTTTATTTACTGAAAGACTCTTGTATATTTCTCAAAACATCTATAATTTCTTGTGGACATTAGCATCCTGTAAAAACGTTACTAAATCAAACCCAATAGCTTGAGATAAAGGCCTTCAATGAAATGAACTTCTTAATTCTCTCATCTCACTTACCTTCTATCAAAGATGTATCCCATTTCCCCATGTAATAAAAGTGGTCACAGTTTTCTAATATACCATCAATTTTTTCATAGTTATATGTTGCTAATAATGCTTTCCCTTCCGCCTGAAATTCTACTTCCTTTCATCTGCCTTATAAAATTCTATTCATTCTTCAAGGCACTGCTCAAATGTTTCTTCTTCTTTGGACCTTTCCATATCCTATCTCAAAAACTGTATGGAGTCTTATTTGTGGTTCTCTCCTCGCTCTCTCTCTCTCTCTTTCTTTCTGTTTCTCTCTCTCTCTATTGATCTATCTATATACACACATACACAATACGTATACTTTAATATATATGCAGTTTTAGATATAATTTATAATATAGTATTTAATATCATTAAAAGTGAATGAGATAGGAGA